AGTCACTTAAAATAATGTCTTCTTCTTCTTTAACTAATTAAGATTTGAGTTAACTTGATAAAGGCGGGTTTGATTTTATTCAATTTGAAAAATCTTATGATATGTATAGAAAAAAAATATAGGAATTGAATTTAATGTGTGTAGTTTAGCAGCAAGATCTTAACAATATGTAATGTATTACTTTATTATAATTTGTCATAGATTTAGATCTAAATGTGCACATGCAACCATATGTTCTCAATCTCCTTTTGTGTGCGTTTGTATATTAAACAATTACTTTATTAGTTTATTTTAGGTATTTGGTAGTTGATTTTCCATATCTAGTAAAATTAAATTTCAGATTCTTGCTCATCATTATTGAAACAAATACTAGAAGCTACATAAAAAAAAAACCTTTTGTTTACATGAATTTCTCTTATATAAAAATGATTGTTCGAAGATTTCCAAAAAAAAAAAAAAGATTAATTATTGAATCTAGTAATCTTATATTGTGAAAAAAAATAAGAGTATGAATGGAAGAATCTTGTCGTCCCAAGTGGTCCTTTTCAGACAGTTGACAGATTTTTCCACACTTTCGATCTCCTACCGACACTCACATTTGTCGGTTAGACTAACCGGTCACCGTCAGATAACCGACTTAAATCGGTCACCCATAAACAATAATTGCATCAATTAAAGATATGAAATTCCTTAATCAATCGTTCTAAGTCTAGAAAAATCCTCTGAAATCCATGAAAACCTCCGAGTTAAATGATGGTGTTCTCTAAGAAATCCCTCAAACCGATAATAAGTCTTACCACCGGTTAACATGAGGGTAAATGGGCCATTGTCATTTGATAATGCTATGAAGATTTTATGGGCTTTAAAGGCCCAATAGGTCTTAAGTACGTGGCAATTAAACTTTTGTACACTCCAATGTGATTTATCAAAAGCTGTATAAGAAGAGAACAATTAACAAAATCTACGAAGACCACATTTTAATCTTAAGGTGAATTGTTAGAGCTTGTGAAGAATCAACACTCAAGAGCCAAGACAATGTGAAATTATGTTTTGATAATATAGATAGAGATCTCATACAAAACTGTAACAGAAACAATGTAAAGATTTGAGAGAAGGTTGCTGCGTCTTAAGCGGTGTAAGCGTTCTTGGCGTTTCTATCGAGCTTCATTGCATCCTCCTAAAGAACCAAACCAACCAAAATGAGAGATGAAAACAAAAAACACTTTAAAATTTGGATCAAGTGAAAACTAGCTCTTCTTATTCTTACATGGATGATGAAACCAATGTTGTTGTTGTAATCAAGAAACTCCTTCCATTGTTTCCCAATGCTCACCTGCGCAACAACATTCAAGTACTTAAGCAATGTCTTTACTCGCAGAGACAAATCGATGGGGTTTTAATGAGATTTTGTCTTTTTCATTTTACCTGAGCAGCTTCGTTGGAAGCGTTCTTAGTCCAAATGGATATCCTTTCTTGCTTTCTAATGTTAACAACAGCTCCACATATTTCATCTCCGTGATCAAACTGTTCTCCAATCAATGCAAGCAACTAAACGAAACCACGTGAAAAGAATAAAAACACCCCGGTTAAGACTCAAATTCGAGATGGTGAAACAAGAATTATGAGTCGAGTAAAAGAAGAGGAATAAAAACCGTACGGTGTAGAGCCAGCACTTATCAGACTTCTCCTTAGGGAAAGTCATAGTCCATTTGCCTCCGTTTGCACAAATAGGATCCTCCCACTTAGGTTCAATATTGTGTTTGAAACAGTAGAAATCAGCTCCGAGTGCTAACTTGCTCGGATGCCTCATGTTATTGTACAAACTACAAAAACAACGAAATACAAAAACCTATTATAAGCTTCACAACTAAAAACAACACATGACCATACCAATAGCATCCCCAAAGCCACTAAGAAACTGCTTGTTCATAATTTCTAATCTAAAGTCTCTCTAATCTTTAAAATGGCAAGAACTAACAAAATGTGAAATTTCTAGATCTATCTCTTAGCTATTTAGCTTAAACCCTAATTTAACGATTCAAGCAACAAACAAGCAATTCTTCATAAACAGATAAGAACCGTAGTGACTTGAAGAAATCTAATCCCACCAACAAAGAACATGAATTTTCTTCTAGAAACCAGAATCTACACAAAACCCAGATGCAGAATCATTGCAAAAACAGAGATTATTGAAGAAAACCCTAACCTCCAGAATTCCTCAACAGTAGAGAAAGTGAACACAGATCGCAAAGAGCTTCCCCAAGTGGTTTGCTTCAATTTAACAGAAGGATTATCGAACCAGAAAGTCCATGAGTGTTCCAATGGATGCGATTCAGGAACGGCGGATTTGTTCGATTCGTCTCCTTCTCCTTCTCCTCCACCGACGATCTCTCCTTCCTCGGTATCATCACCTTCCTCATGGTATCGATCAATCGGATTCTCAATTGAAGAATTAGGGTTTGCTTCTTCAGTAACAACTGGCTTAGGATTATCTTCTACCGCCATTGTTGTTGTTGTTGCTTCGTTTTCTTCAAAAACTGCCTCTTTTCTCTCTTCGTTCTCTTTCTCCAAAACTTTGTACTTTGTTCTTTGTAGGGTTAACTACGATACGACACCGTTTTAGTGTTAACGCCCTTTCAGTTTGTTGGGCCAATAATATAAATTTTAACCTTTTTTTTTATGAAAATTAGAAAAATTAAACTATAATGGGCCTTAGATATTGGACCCTATGTGACTCCAAACATTTATGCTGAATAGATGAGCTTACGTAAAACTTTTCTGCTAATTAGACCACCCACATTGGAGACAAAATGTGGATGTCTCTAAATTAAAAAATATTAAAAACACACTCTCTTTTCTTTTTACTCAACTTTATACTATCTTTTTCATCCTTTTACTCAACTTTTATTAATTTTATATTTAAACACTCTCACTTCATTTTGAGAACACTATCTAAAAGTACTACTTTAAGAACACTCTCTTTTTCTTTTACTCAACTTTTATTAATTTTATATTTAAACACACTCCAACTTTCATCCATTCTCTCTCCAACTTTGTCTTCCCCGAAACATCCTCTCTCTAATAATATCCACTATCTTATCTCTTTATTCAAATTTTATTAATTTTATATTTCAATACACCCCAATATTTCAACCAAAAACACTCTCTTTCTTTCTTTTACTCAACTTTTAATATTTTATATTTAAAGACACATACAAAATGCCTCGAATGCAGATGCTCTAATTTGTTTGTCTTTTCTCCTGTTAAAATCTGCTGACTGATGTAAACAAAAAATGAGCAATGTTTCAATTTGTTTGGTTTAGAATCGGAATATTGGTTTATGAACACTAATATCTATTATAAAAAATTTAGTACGGTTCGGATTCAATTTTAGTCAAACAAACACAAAACTTCCATTTTGTATCATTTTTTCTATTTGATTCGGATTCACAGTCGTTTTTTTTCTTTAATATACAAACGAATTCATCTAAACCATGATAAATATGGTTCGGTTTTGAATTGATTATTTAGATTTGGTTCGGACCGGTAACTATCTATATGATATGAACACTTCTATATAATGGGTTGTATCATTATTTTTGTCTTGGCGTAATTTAAAATTTTAACTATTTACTATACACATGTAAATCATAGACTATAAGAAAATAAATTATTATGAATTTTTTTGTATTATACGGAATAATCTTTATGAATAATTAATATAGTATTTCTAATAAATAAAAATACATCAGATTTTAATTTAACTAATCTCTGAAATAAATATAATCGTTGAATGGCCATTCAATGAATTTTATAAGTTTGTCTGGATTGCAAAGTCTATTTCGCTAAATGTAACTTTTTCGCGTACTTACTATATTAAATTATGTAACTCAGACATGCATCTCTGCGTTTTAAACAATGGGGTATGGGGTTCTAAATAAACATAATAGTACAAGTGTTTGTATTCC